TATATATATATATATATATATAGCCGGTATGCCACCTCTGGAATTGTGCCACCCCAAGCACATGCTTGGTTTGCTGGTGCCTAGAGCCGGTCCTGAGTCTTAAGAACAAAGCTCTAGAAGAAATTCCACAAACTGAAGCAGGCTGGTATGGGTGGCCCGTATCACACAGACCACGGCCTCCCCAAACAACCCAGCATGGTCCCGCCCACACTCCACCCCCAGGCTGCCTCCTGCCTGTTTCCAATTCCCGCTCTTCCCCCATGGCCCGGGCTGGGGCTGGGGCTGGCAGGCCTGCAGCCGGGACTTGGAGCAGCTGTGGCCGGTGCTCACTTCTGCCCAGCATTCCGGTGCTGAGGCCGCCTACCTGGTGCTCCAGTGGAGGAGAGGGGGCGGAAAGGGTGGAGGATGGGCAGGGTCTCAGGCAGAAGGGGGGTGGGGAGGATTGGCCTCCCCCCAGCAGGAGGTTCATGTGCTGCCCAGGGGCTGGCATTTCACCAGACTGTTGCCCTCTGACCTCACTCATCTTTTGATCTCTGGGCAGTAGGAGTCTGGTAAAGTTTCCAAGCCTGGAGATAATCCTGCACTCGGAGGAGGAGGGTGGACTAGATCAGTGGTTCTCAACCAGGGGTACATGTAGTCCTGGGGGTACACAGAGGTCTTCCAGCGGGTACCTCAACTCGTCTAGATATTTGCCTAGTTTTACAACAGGCTTACATTAAAAGCACTAGTGAAGTCAGTATAAACTAAAATTTCATACAATGACTTGCTTATACTGCTCTACATACTACTATACATTAAAATGTAAATATAATATTTATATTCCAGTTGATTTATAATTATCTGGTAAAAATGAGAAAGTAAGCAATTTTTTAGTAACAGTGTTCTGTGACACTTTTGTATTTTTAGGTCTGATTTTTTAAGCAAGTAGTTTTTAAGTGAGGTGAAACTTGGGGGTACTCAAGACAAATCAGACTCCTGAAAGGTGTAGTAGTCTGGAAAGGTTGAAAGCTACTGGACTAGATGGTATAGCAAAGTTATTATTTTTTATATATTCTAATTTTTGCAGTTCACCTCTTCTGTGCAATAGCTGGAGGAAAATCACTAAACAAGAGCAGCAGGGTTATGTGACTGGAGTACTGACAGGCAAAGTTTAGTACCATCACCAGTTAAAAGGTAAGGAACAAGCTCCTTCACTCTGAGATGCTGTGTGAGGTTGTGATGGGATCCCCGGGGTGCAGCCTATTACACTGGGCAACATCCAGATTAAGCAGTTTTTCTCACCCCACTGGATATTGCAGTTCTTAATATACAGGTTTGTCCCTTAAACCTGGGCCAGTCCCCTCTGTTGGGGTCTTCAGTCTTCTGAGTGTCTTTGTTGCTTGCAGCATAGGTGGGGGCAGGAGAAAGTGGCCACATGCTGGGCCTGTGTTCTGTTTTATATCCTTGGCCTTAGTCCATGTCTGGTGGGCATTACTGAGTCCCCAGGCAAGGTTGAGCAATTCCCCTGGTGTGGCCTTATGCAGGTGAATCATTGAATTGTAGCTCCCTTGCTGGACAATGGCTGTTAATGGTGGTTTGACACCCGCCCCGACGTTAGTTACTTTCCTTGGCATTGTCTCTGGAGAGCTAGTATTTGGGCGCTTCCCAAACCCACAGCATATTTTAGTGACAATCATACAACACAATTCTTATAACTTCATATGCATTAATGATATGCATATTTCGATAGAACAGTGACTTTCAGCAGATCATAACCTTTCTCCTGATACCTCACATGGCCTGCTTTATATGCAATATCACAATTATATATAAATGAGGAATATGGGGGTACCGGGTGCTCCCCCAAGGTATAGAATGTCACAGAGGTCAGTACAGGAGTTTAAATAGAAGTTAGGGTTTTCAGAAAGGTGGAATAAGATACCATTTCTGTTTGAGTTCATCATCATAGCTTGTCCATCCAAAATTGCAGCCAAGACCTGGTGTTGTCACTTACCTTTAATAGCTCCTCAGGAGTACAGGATGTGTTGTCCTAGGCTCTCAACAATCACATTTGGGTTCATTCTTCAGCTTCCACTTGGTCACATTGTCACCAGTCTTTGCCACTCTAGCTCTCTCTCCATTTAGAGCACATCAATATAGTCATTTGAGGCCAGTGCTGGGGGAGTTGTTCTGAAGAAACCGGATTCTCCAAGATCATCGGCATTACCTGCCATTTTGTTACACTATAGCCTTCCACAGTAGTATTTTGAAGTAAGGGACTTTGAGAGGCAAAGCTCTTTCTGGACTTCAGCCTCTTGCATGGTGGAATGTGTCCATGCAGTATATGTCTCGGGGAGACAACCAGGTGCACGATCCTTTTTATTGAAGGCATCCCACTTCACAGATGGTGGTGCAGTCTCTGCAAGATAGTATAGCGACAGTGTGGGAGTTGGTTTCAAAGTTCCTGTGTTAATCCTACAGGATTAATTGAGTTGAGTATCAATTTGGTGTGCATGGTTTGAGTGTAACTAGACTGGGGCACAGTACTCTGCATTTGAGTAACAGAGGGTGAAACAGATTGCTCGGAGTATGTTGTGATCAGCTCCCCATTTTATGTTGGCTAGTTTCTGGAGAATACAATTTCGGGAGTTCACTTTCTTTTTCTTGATGTGCTCTTTGAATGTCAGCATTTGGTCTAAGGCAGTGGTTCTCAGCCCATGGGCTGCTTGCAGCCCAATCAGCACACAACTGCAGCCCATGTGACAACCTCAGGGCTATATAGGGAGTATATATATTGTGTGAATGCAGCCCACATAACACAGAGAGAGCACCATATGTGGTCACAATGGTAAATAGGTTGAGAACCACTGGTCTAATGTGACTCCAAGATACACCGGATGTTCATAGTGCTCAAGGATTGTACCATCCCACAATATCTGGAGTTTTTGTTCGGCTTGATGGTGTTTCGGGTGAAAGGTGCACAATTGTGTCTTGCTAGGGTTGGCATTCAAGAACCATGTGCAATAGTGTTTTTCAGTGGAGGCACTTAGAATGAGTTCAGTGTCCTCAAATCTTTCCATTTGGGTAGCGATACAAAGATCATCTGCATAAGTAAATCTTTGCATGTTGGGGAATTCTAGCTGGTCATTTATGTAGACATTTAACAGCAAGAATGATAGCACTGAATCTTGGGGCAATCCATTCCGTTGAGTACACGATCGACTTTTCTGCCATCCATCTTGACAAGAACATCAGTTTGAGAGTAAGGAGGAGATGACTATACTATCTTGTTATTTCTCAGAATTCTTGCCAATTCAGTAGAAGTGCATAACGGTTCCCAGTGTCATAAGCAGGTGATAGCTCAACAAACACAGCCCCTGTAATTTTGCAGATTTTGAAACCATTTTAGAAGTATTGAATTAGGTTTGCCACTTGGCTGCAGCATGAACGTCCTGGGTAGAAACTGGCTTAGTCTTCAGTCAGTTACCCTTCCACTATTGGTACTATTCTACCCATCATCATCAGCCCCTATAGCTTGTAGGTTGAGCAGAGTAAGGATATTGGGAGGTAACTCTTTGCAGAGCTAGGGTCTTTATGTAGTTTAAGTAGTGCAACCACTTTGGCCTGTCTCCACACCCTGTGTATATGCATTATCTCCATCCAAGAGTTAAAGTGAAGCAGCCATTTCTGTGCTCTCGTCCTGAGGTGCATGTAGTAATAATAGTTCATTAGCTATACCATCGAGTCCAGCTCTCTTTCTACATTTCAGGGTTTTCATGACTATTGTCAGCTCCTCAGTGTTGAGCTGCTCATTGTGGACTTTGCTGTTTCCAAGGAGCAAGCAAAATTCCTGTTTGACTTGTTTCATTCTGCACTTTGCTTTGTGGCCTGGTTTACCATTTAGGATGAGCTGGTGTGCCACTTAGCTGGGAGAGACTGTGCAGTTGCGTCGCTTCTCTCTAATCTCTCTCGTAAGCATTTCCCCAAGCCCAGGGGTTTCTTCATCATTCTGAATATTTCTTATATTGTTGACTTGTCTTTATATGTACCTGGGCTTTCAGAAATGTCCAGCATCCCCTAGGGGTGTGCCTTTGGGCAGTCTTCCGCATCAAGGGGACAAATTTTCCATGGTGCTCGTGTACTGGAGTAACATTACAGATGGCTTCATCCAATTCAGAGAGAAAACCTTCCCAGTCAGCCTTTCTGAAGTTGAATCTCAGCAGATACTCTGTTTAAGTTGAAGAAGCAGGAGTCATGATGGACTGGACAAAACCTCTCCATTAGTAGCAGCAGTGCAATGAAACTGAGTTTTGAAAATCAGGCTGCTGTACATTTGGTTCCTTGCTGATCCAATCCATTGTGGTGCTTAACCCAAGAAATATCAGTGTTTAAATGGGAACCAAGGCGTGCTTAAAACAGTGCTATACTTCGTTTCGGTTTTTGGGGTATCCAGGACAGTGAGTTACCTTTTTCCCCCCGCGTGAGGGGAACTTGCTTGTGCTTAGTTGAGTGTCCGCTCCCTGCATCCAGCAGCCTGTTAGCCACCCAAGCATTCGCCTCTGGGCAATGCTAGCCCTTATTTTGCTTTGCAGGTTAATAATAGGTACTCCCCAGTCCTTGAGTCCCTTTGAAGCATTCCCCTGTAGTGCCCAGCCCCTTATCCACTGAACACTCACGGAAATACCAGATCTGCTGTCCCCAAAGGAACAGTGTATGCACCAGCTTGTATGATTCAGCTCAGGATTAGTACCTAACTTAATACTACAGCACTGAGATAAAGTGAATCCAAGGATAAGTTTATTACCAAAGATTCAAGGGGTAGTTAATAAGAATATTGGAAACAAATGGGTACATATAAAACAAAACCATAACACGCTTTCTAGAGGCTAAATTTAGCTAACAGTTTAACGTCCTGTCTAAAGAAATGTATCTCATCCCGAAGTCCTTGGCAGCACTTCAAGCAAGGTTGGCTGAGATTTCATATTCATGCATGTAAACACACTGCCTGTTTAATTCCTAGGTGCTGAATAAGGGGATGTCTTCTTTGCCTTTTACTTATACTCCCCAAAGTTCATTGTCTGAACTCACAGAAAGGATAACCACCCCTGGCTTATTTTTCCTGCGTGCTGCTTCCCTGTTGACTACACCTCTCTTTTTTGACTTTGTATATACATAGGTTTCCACTGTGTTAGCTTACAATGCTTAATTTACATCCTGACAGAGAGACAGGTGAATAAATGTCTCTTGTCTGACACAAACCTGTTTTGTTCACCTCTGCTGGTGTCTCAGACCTTGATACAGACATGAAGAACATATTATCAGTATATATATACATAACTCCCTACCTAGTAGCTATACATACATTGCACAATGATTTTAATGACCATTGTGACCCTAGCTTTCATTTAAAAACCCTATTGAACAGTTGTATTATAGCTGTTCACACAATATCCTTTGGTGAACCAGAATGTATGTACCAGAATCAGGACATTCCAGCTGGCATTAACAAGTTCTTGGGTCACACAGTTAAATTCACATCATATTACAAATGAAATTGTGACTGGACTTGTTTTTAAATGTAAAACCCATTACCAAGAGTTTGATTTCTAGTGTTTTAAATGTAGGTACAGTCTGTTCTAAGCAATGTTTGCAAATGAAATGGCTGAGGCAACCTGCATAATTGGACACAAAAGGCCCCATGAATGTAATGAAGAAGTGGAAGAAGCCCAGAAAACTAAAAGGAAAAGGAAGGTAGATGAAGACACTTGCCAAAACCAGCACCAATGTAAGGTAATCAGTGTAATCAATAATTTGTTATATTACACATGTAGGTAGGTGGAGATCCATCATAGTTATATCTATTAGCTCATTTTCAATACATGATCACTTTCTTCTGAAGAGGTATTTTTGCTTTTATTCCTCATGAATAGTGTGGCAAAAGTCAAACTCCCTGCTATTATATATTCCATTTTATATATGACTCTGTACAGACTTTTTTTTACAATTACTAGTCCAGCATGTATAATTCCTCTCTACTTTCCTGCTCCTGGTTTCTCTCAGGATGAGCCTGCAGATGAGACCTTTGAAAGTGGAGGGGGAGGGGGAGGAGGGATAAGAAGATTTAAGAATTTAGGAGAAAAAAAGCACCCAGCTCTCCTCCCCCCTTAAAAAAACCTATCCTGTTTTCTTTTCAAGAGTCACATCCTTTTTCTCCTAAGATGTTGCATGTTCTTTTCCCTTCTCACTCAGCTGCTTTAGGTGGCCTGATCTGCAGGCTCAGTTTGAGAGAACCCAGGAGTAGGCCAGGTGGCTCTTGCCAAGGCCTCAACTCAGCCTGCCTCCAAAACTCATATCTCTGCACCAGTCAGTCAGTCAGTCACATCTGCATCTCTCAGCCTTTTCTCAGCACATGCACAATACATGCTGAACTCGTGGAAAGTTTGAATTCCACATTTTTCAGGGAGATTTGTAATTTTTCACATCTGTGCCAGCTGTGAAATAACACAGCTGTTCAAAAGTTATGAGTTTTTGAAGAGGGTTGAGGGTTTGTTTTGTAGAATGATGATATGATAGATGTAGGCATCTGGCTGTTTGAAATGATTATTTTAATGCTGCTGAGATTTTATTGTATTACTAATTTCTTGTTAGGGCACCTAGAGCCTTGTATAGGCATTTTAGTAGTAGTAGTAGTAAGAATTAACTATAATAATAATAAAGTATGTGTTGTATATTATTAGTTGTAGATGTAATAATAAATTTTGTTCCTGCTGCAAAAACTTGAAACCTTGAATCTCCACTTTAAAATCTTCTGCTAGAAAATACTAATGTTTTTAAGAAAGTTTCATAAAAATAAACGTGATCCACACTGAACAACTACATGCTTTTTAAAGAAAAGTTACACCTTTGAGCAGCGTTGCAGCAGATTACATCAGTAAATCTACATCTGATGGAACGTAGCACAAGGTCATATGACACAAGTCAGCCCAAAGCAATTATTGCACAATACATTAGATACCCGAGTTAAAATTAGTGTGGTATCTACTCTGGGGAAATTATAAACATATCAACTGAAGTGTCTAGATACCTGCTAATTGCCAGGTAGACTTTGTTAATGGAAACTGCTGCTGGACTATTTTGTAGCTGTTTCATTAGGGTTCATTAAAAGTGTCTTTACATATTTGTTCAACCTAGCATGATAGATGAGAAACTATTATTATGAGCCGTCGTGTTTAAGAATAACCTTAGTAAAAATACTTGGACCTAACAAAATTGGGACCTTGTTTTAGACTTTTCTTATCTGATTTTATGACTTCAATATGTGCACTAGCTCAATTTTATATTAGCAGATTATTAAATACAATTTAACAAAGGGTGTGCTAATGTAATGAGAGAAGCCTTAACGGTAACTGCATTTTACCACATGGCATTTTGTGTCATGACTATCAATTAGAATGTTTCAGAATCTCATCCACAATATTTGGTAGGGGAAATATTTTCAGTGTGTGGAATAACGCTATATATGATGAGAAAAGTTCCCATCCTGCAAGGTGCTAATCTCTCCCTCAACTCCCACTGAAGTGAGTGGGAGTTGAGGGCACTCAGCACCTTGCAGGAGTCTCACAGTGCCTCCTATATTTGGATCCATATGCTCTTTCTATTTTCCTTGTCCTGTGTGCGTGTGTGGCAGAGTTCTCCATACTTTCAGTAGGCATTCAAGGCATGATTATTGCTTACCACACTCTATTCCCTAGCTACTTTTCTCCTCTGTATAGTACAGTTCCACAGACTCCCTTTCATTTTAGCAACTGCAGCCATGGCACCTTTCCCCTACCTGCGTATAATGTAGAATATCTTATAAAATTGCAATGGATCATACAATCTCCATTGGAACTGGTTTTATTGCCTATGAAGGTCCCCAAAACGTTTTTTTTTTGCTCCCTTCTAGCAAAGTAAGAGACACATGCAGGCTCCCTAAACTGCTAAACTGAATTTTGTATGTTGAGTTCTTCATTTCGACTCTAGTAAAGTGATCTCTGTGACTTTTCCTGCTGCAGTTTTCCTTTGATTGTGCTGTTTTTTCTGCAAGTGGACAGCAAACCCATCTGCCCAGAATAGATAGGATAGTGTAAACTGAGTAGAAAGGTTTAAACAAGTAAACCTGCATGAAAGGGACACAGATTTAGCCCTGGTTTAAATGGGCACAACTCCACTGATAGCAATGGGAGGTGTGTACGGAGGGCAGAATACCACAGCTGAGTTAACCTAGATTGTGAGCTCTATAGAGCAGTGAAAGTTTCTTTATTGTATATTTGTCCAGCGCTAGACAGCAGAGTCCCTGACTGGGCACCTAAGCTACTGTAACTAGTAATTAATAATAATACCATGTGATCGGAAAGGAGAATGTTGCCTAATGATTGAGGGAAACCTAGCGATAGGAAATAGTGTTTTAAATGTTCTTGGTCCTATCACACTAATAGCATTAAGATGCCCTTTTGCAATACAATCCCCTTCATTTTTTCCATTGAACCCTTACATTATTTACTTAGTTGGGCATGTAAATGGTTCTTTGCTTGCACTCACTTTTTGTAGGAGAAGAAATCCCGCTTGTCAGCTGAGTTGTTTGGTGAGGATTGTGAAATCAGCCATGAACAGGTATATGAGTTCCTAAAGTACGCAGCTTTGGGAAAACGTCACAATGCAGCTCAACCCAGGTATAGTATATGTTTATATTCTGGACACAATCACATCCCATGCCACTGTACATGTGCTAACCTACCTAAAGGCACATAAGTACTGTTTTTAAATATCCTCTGATTATTTTTTGCAACATTGTCACCATATCGGCCATCTATTATATAGATGAGTCATAGCTAGATTTTGATTGTGTACTCATTTTGATGAACATGTACATGAGGCAAGTTATGGGGATGAATACTACAGTAAAGCTCAGAGCTCTGTCTTCCCCATGTACATTGTTTACATGATGATGTGCTTGTATGGACCAATATGTAAGATAAAGGGCTAGATTCTGTTCTTACTGAAGTCAGTGAGAGCTTTGCCAGTGACTTACATGGGAACAGAACTGGTCCTATGTTTGTTTAATTTTAAAGTATTGATAACTGTATTGCTTTGATTTCTAATGCAGCTGGTGCCGTATTTATCACCAAAGACACCTGGCTAAGGTTGTGGTTATTGTTCTTCAGGAAGTCAGCCAGCTCTATTTCTACAGGTTCTATTTGCAGTTCAAACATCTCAGAAGGGCATTTCAACATGTAAGTTCCCAAACTATGTTTCTATCAAGTAAGCTTTTTCAGCCAACAATGCCCCAGTGGTTTAACTGCTACAGTGAAATTATTCTCCTCCCACTGGGAAGTGGACATCTCTGAATCCCAAGGGGCAATATGAGAGAATCCCCCTCCCTTCCTACCTGCTATTAGCCCAGGACAAAGGATCAAGCTCTGATATTAGAAGCAGAGTGATTAAAGATTTGTAGTTTTTGAAGTCATAAAATGTTAAATAAATACATCAACAGTTCGACACTACATGTATAATATTTTCTGCATCTTCAAGAGGGTGAGGATATTCTAAATATGTCTCAGTAGACTTAGGACTTGCTTTCAGTGGGTATAAATTGGCAGAGGTTCACCAGCTGAGGATCTGTCCCATAGTGTTTGCAGACCATGCTGTGTTTTATGATAACAATTCCTCCTGTTCCCTGAAGAGATTATTGCTGAGGCAGGATGTAGTAAAGTTCTTTTAATTTGCCCAGCTACATTTAATCCCCTTTATATGTCTTATTTATTTTAACAGTGTGCTTTGAATCAGTAAAATCTTAGGAAATTCTCCCTTAGCTGCAGCAAACATATGTTTCTAATTTAGAGCAGTTTCCTAACTTTCCAGGAACAGGGAACCATCAGTTCTGCTTCTGCCAATGAGATGCTGCACTGAGCCGGATTGCCTCTGGAAAGCCAAGGCTATAATATGATAATTGAGTAGCTACAAAAGAGTCCTGTATTATTCAGCTAAATCATTGTGATGTTCCCTTGAAAATGTATTGTTCTTTATAAATGATGGGCGAAGCCCAGAAATAAGTGAATAATGAGACAGCAGTATTTCTCGGCAGTAGAGGGGAAAGGGGTGGTCCATCTGGAACAG